GGGCTCCTCGCTCTTCCCTTGACCGCGTATCTCTGGCTTCTATTAATACAGGGCCCGCGGAGCCGACTTTCACGAAGTGGGGGCGGGGGGGAGGGGGTGGCTAATGCGAACACGTATTAAAGCGTGAGCAAACTAGCGGGTCCGGGGGCATGCTCCCCGGGGATATTTCAGATTTAAGTCCTCTGAAATGGCTATAAATGCATCTAAAACTGCCGATAGTAAATATAAATTTGTAATTATTGCTGGTTTTCAGTGTCACACCATTCAAAATAGATCAAAATAAAATCAAAACCGTGCAATAGATAAAGTCCAGAATCTGGGAAATGAAAGGAGGTACATATAAAAAGACCCTCGCCAAGATTCAGGTCAGAGGAATATTTCTTATACGAGATATCCGAAGAAATGTTTTACCCAAACTTATAGAGATTTATATGGAGACGCCATGCTGGTGCTCAACTGGATGAGCTCCGGACGGAAACGTACAAAACATCTGTTACCGAGTTTTGCTACAAAAGCGTGAATTTATTCTTCGAGAAACTCATAAAAATTAAAGTAATACTTTTGCTTATACATGAAGTGTTTAGATAGCAAAATTTCCTGAAATTTAAGTCATTTTTTTAACCTACATGTCAGCTCTCTTGGCCGTCATGTAAATGCCGCGTCACGCAAAAGCTTAGAAATTCAAGCGTAGTCTATCACAAAACCAAGAACCCAAGAAAATTTGTATGAACATTAGTTTTCAGCTGCTCTAATGCATCGTGAAAGTAAAATCTCGGTAGGATCGATAGTTTTTTAGTTTGAATTTTAGTGACGTCATGTGAAAACCAACAATTCGTATTTTCTACAAGAAGCTTAAGTTGCTAATCGACTACTTAAAAACTCTTTTTCACTGTTCCTTGACTTCTGAGCATTATAATAGTCTGCGAGGGGCTCCTCGCTCTTCCCTTGACCGCGTATCTCTGGCTTCTATTAATACAGGGCCCGCGGAGCGGACATTCAAGTAGAGGGGGTGGCTACTGCGAATGCGTAAGCGTGAGCAAACTTGGGGGTCCAGAGGCATGCTCCCCCGAAAAATTTCAAATTTAAGTCTTCTGAAATGCCTATAAATGCACCTAAAACTACCACTATTATTATAAATTTAAAATTATTACATCGGCACTTAAAACAAGAAGTTACAACCCGGCCCCCACGTTAGACCAAAATTTAAATGAATAGACTTCAAAGCTGAACCCAACTCACGCGACATTTTTAAAGGGACAGTGTCCCGATTGTGCGCACTCGCGAGCGTCATCTGTGTTTTCTTCAAAAGACAACAGAACTGTCATATTGACTCGACAAGATTTCCTTCCGGATCGCACCGCCGACGGAGATTTGTTGTTTACATTCTCAAGTAATATTTTAGACTTTCGAAGAAGTGTTTCGTCTTAATTTACAATTTGGCTCGCGGCACGAAGACTCATCGCGATTTTGTCGCTACTAGGGCCACCTCGTGACCCAAAAATTATCGCAAAGGTTAGTCAAAAATTATATTATGATTTCATTGCACTAGTTTTTCTAAACATGTAGCGCCTGTTTGTTTGATTTTTTCGGCCGTAGGGAGGTTCATTTAAAAGTTTACTAACGCGTCGTTGCAAAACATTCTGCTTCACGAAGCTTAATTCCACAAAATCTCCTTAGTCACATCCATGTCTCAAATTGTTTCTTTCTTACAGTCTCTATTGTTGCTGTTTCATTTCTGCGTATTCCTTTCACAATTGTCTGAGCTTGTATGGACGGTGGCAGAAGAAATAAGCCCTTAATCGGCATAAAAGCACTTCCCATCTTTTGGTCCTCCGGCCAACGGCAATAAAAGTAACGCCAAAAATTCCGATTTCGCCCAAATCGAAACTCAACAGGAACAACATATCATTGATCTGTAATCCTGAGAAGGTTTAGTGTGGTATCGAACTCGGCCAATCGCGATGCAAACGGATTTTTCAAGGTTCTCTTACTCTCCTCGCATCTTTTGATTTCGCGACATCCTGTCCAAAAATCAAAGTTTGGTGCATGCGCAGTAACGGGATACTGTTCCTTTAAGTCGGATTCTCTGAAGGTGCCAAAGTTGCCTTTCCGATTGTAATATATAGATTTAGCAGGGGCTAAAAGTGAAGCTCTCGATAATATTTATAGTTTGCTCAAACAAAATATAAAATCGTGCAATGCTAAGCTGCGGAAAGCGGTGAAAAACAACAATAGGTCTAATTAGCAAAAAAGCAACTTTGCACGTGCAGCACTCTGTTTTTGTACATTTCTTTGCTGTTGTTTTGTACGACTACAACGTGAAACTTCCAGAAACTTCTTAGTTACTCGTTTTATGGAGGAAATGTCGTACGTGTTCACGTTCACTTTTTCTCAATGCTGCTCTTTTTCACCTTGCATTGGTGGCCGCTAGCATTTCTCATTTTGTCAGCGCCGCTACAAAACTTCCATGTTGGTCTTCCAACCAAAAAATGTCTCCTTTGTTTTTTATCTCTCTGCTCTAAATCTCTGTTGCCCTTTTTCTCGTTGAGCTTCGCTGGCCTGCCGCCCACTTTCTCTTTTTGTCTGTCTTTCTCTTGCTCTATATTCCAAATTTGTGGACATGACAATTTTACCCAAGCTTAATACTTTAGACAACACGGATACAGAAACAATTTCCGCTTTTCGTTTTCGTCTTTTTTGACTCTTTTGTTGTCTCTGCTTTACAAGGCGCCGGTGGCTATGCGAATTCCCGCCAAAATAACCTCGAGTTGCATTTGGGTTGCCATACCTGTTAATTGAGTTATTTTACATTGGTATGTCTGTGGTGCGTACGGACGGTCTCTCGGGCGGGCGGTCGGTGTAGGGTCACGTGATTACCAAATTTTCTCTGATGGGTAGATTACTTCATTTTCTCACCCATGGTGCTCAGCTGGCGCGCTTCGCGCGCGAGAGCTCCGCTCCAAACCTGAAGAGCTACAAGACAAAGTTTGTCTGTTGTCTGTTTGTGGGTGTTCAGTATTGTCAGATTACTAAACCTTGTTTGTGTGGTAAGTGACAAATCTATTGTAGGTAACGAAAGCAAATAAAAAAAATTGACCATCCGAAAAAGTGGGGGAGCTTTGGTCCCTGTAATAGCATACTAGGAGACTGCGAGACGACTGGGGACGAGTCAGTAGGTAACCGACTGTAAGTCCGTTAATACAAGTTTTGAAAGAGCGGCTCCTAAGAACGTTGAGCTGTATGAGAACAAATAAATAGACAATGATGTAATGGTAAGAGAATATTTATTTGGAACTATTACAGGTTTTTTTTTTACTCCTCTTCAGTCGAATATAGTCGACTTCGGATTCTTTTTTGGCGATCGTAATAATTACTGCAACTTCCCATACAGTATGTCTGGGTTGCCCGTGGTAAGAATATGGATTTAAAGCTCTCATTTGGCCTCACAATGTCCACGGCAGAAACGGAACCGTATAACAATTTTGAAAATCTCGCAATGATTAAGCTGGAAACCTTTTTCTCGGAATGCGAACAATCGATAGCACACAAACGTTAATCAAACTTTGCATTCCTTTATGAATGAATGATTCTAATTATGAGAATTTTCAAAAGGTGGGAAGAACTGAAATGTATTTATTTATGCAGGTGACTTCTGAGTATAACTGGGTATTATAGATGATTTTATGATATGATCTCAGTTGTTCATACTATTAAAACAATAATCCGTCTTTTATTCCGGTTAAAAAATCTTTTATTCCGTAAAATTCCGAATATATAAGCCCCTCCAAATATAAGCCCCCCAAACCGGTAACACAAAAACCCTTCCGTTAAATCGCCCCTCCAAACATAAGCCCCTCGGGGGCTTGTACTTGGAAAATTTCCGTCAAATACAAAGTAAACGGTAAATTTACTTCCAACTTAACTATAAGGCTAGCCCAATCGATTTTGAAACGCAAGTTTCCCTCCGTAGATAAGCCCCTCCGAATATAAGCCCCTCCAAAAATAAGCCCCTCAAAAGGGGTGTTCGAAAAATATAAGCCCCGGGGCTTATTTTCGGAATTTTACGGTAATTCATTAAAGGAGCTGTGTCGCGAAATATATGAAAATTCAAACAGTGTGAACCGCAACTAAACTGGGTGAAACTGACATGGAGCGATTTTCGTATGACCTTGAAAAATGGTTTCGGTAAGTGTTAGTTTTTTGTTTTGTCAGCCAATGGATGAAAAGATCGAAACATGGACTCTTCGGCTTCCCGCCAAAGGAAACCTTAATATGGGGAAGGCATTGTTCGATTGGCCAATCGTGCTGCACTAAGACGTCAAAGCGAAGTGTCAATTGATTTCTAGAAAGTTCGTCGTCCATGAAGTTTTTTCAGCCGAGCGTTCGCGTAACCAACCAAAAACCACGCGCGTTTGTATTTGTTCGACAAAACCAATCAAATCGCTCTGTTTCCTTTAGTTTGTTGTTTCTGTTTTCAGGTCATACGAAAATTACTCTAACTGCTCAGAACATAAAAATCAAAGAACATAAAAATCAAAGCAAATATAGAAGGAGGAATGGATGGACAATCTTGAAGAGGATTGAAAAGAGGCCATATTGCAATGGTGCTTTTTGAAAACTTGTTAGCCTAACAGTTTTTCAAAGTTCATTTTTGTCGTTTCAAGGTATCGTTTGATATACTACTTGGGAGACATATTCAGTCTTTGACACGTAGCGGTGATTTTGCCATTTACAAGTTATTTAATTCGCAAGTTCCATAATAAGGCCGCGGTAATATACTGGCATTATTAACAACAACCATGACACAGCCACAGAATATAAATACCGATTACAAAGGGACTTTTAAAACCGTTTTAACGCAATATGTGCTTTATCGATTCCAAAATAACTCAGTGCATGGTTACTACCTCGGTACTGAGTTACACTTCCACGAACACTGATTCCTTGCCATGACACTGCAATTCAGCACTGTGCGAATTTGCTGCACTTGCACTCCACGATCAGTCTGCCTGACATTCCTTACAGAGTGGGTTCAGTTCTCCGTAATCATGGCATCGACTGCCGATGCACTGACAGCAGCCATTTCTAAACCAGCGGTATTTGGAAGCTCCCATGGATGAACATGAACTGATACAATCTTCTTTTGAAATACACGTGTTATAAAAAGCAACTTTACACTGATGCCTGTGGCTGGACGTTCCTGAAATGAACAGTAGAATATTATTAACGGAGATGTTCCAAATCCTGACTATTAGATATTTCGTCTTAAAACTCCGAGGTATAAAAAACAAACAGTAGTTAGTTCATTGCAATAGCAATGAAAAAGGAAGCATTTCAAATAAGTTATTTAAACTTATAAAACGATAAATTCTGAAAAGTGTGGTTATAGAGCGCTTACTGAGTCAGCTGTTTAGTATATAATAGGGCCATTTATACGAGGAAAAATAAGACGCGTCTTAAATAAGACGCGAACTTTCCGTATAAACGGCACATTTCGTCTAAAATAAGACGCGACTCAGCTTATTTTAGAACAGCCCTTAACACCTGTTCTTAGATAAGAAGTGTCTTAGCTAAGACGAGAAAAACGTCGTATAAATGACCTTCGCTTACATAAGACGCGAACGCATAGTACGCATGCGCTAATTTTTGGCGGGAAAATTATCGCTTGCCCCGCGGTGGACTGGCAGGCCACTGGCGGGGAAAAATTGTTTACAAATTACAACGCGTTTTCGTTTCCTTGCCTATTCTGCTTTAGCTTTATTTTTTCTTCGCTCAAATACAATGAGCTCGCCTTTAAAGGTAAAAAGAAACACTTGGTCCATCGCGGAGGAAAAAGATTTTTGTTATTATGTAAGAAGGCGATAACAGACCTCCTGGACAAATCCGTGACATCTGCTGGTGTAAGTAGACCCTTTTAACTTTAAACTATCACAATTTATATTTACTAATCAAATTGCTATCTTCATATCATAAACTTACACTTTAAAAGTAATTTTAAGAGTACAGAAGAATTAGATAAGGCATGCTGCGCTCGTATAAATGGTCCAGTTCGCGTCTTATTTCAGACGCGTCTTATTTTTCCTCGTATGAATGGCCCTAGTAAGGTTAATATATATATTATGTAACCGTGCCTGCAAAGAAAGCTAGAAAGAAAACATTTCAATAATTCTTGATCCCTAAAGATTTCCGAGGATAAATAAAAGTCATTACTATAGATGACAACCCGTCAAAAAAGCCACTGGAAAAGTGTCAAAGGTACGAACTTTTCACAAAAAGGCTTCCTTTATTTTTGGAGACAGAAGCAAAAAAAGTTCTTTTATTGTTCCAAATGAGACAAATTCAGATAAATTAAAAAGACAAAAACAAAAGCAAAACAAAGAAAAAGAACACAGCCGTAGCAAACAAGCAAGGACTCTGAAAGATCTTGACTTCGGACTGATAGAAAAACGGTTCTTTACATCTTCACATTGCGCTGCTGAAAATGGTACATAATTTTCGGCACGTAAACTTTCCAGCGAAATTTGATCATCTCTTACGACTCTTTAATCGCGGGGCACGGCCCTAAGGATAAAAATTAAGAAAAACATTTTAAACGTCTTTCCAAAGAGTGATTAATCCATTAATCCTTTAAGCTATGAGTTATGGCGTTCTTGAATGCAAAGCTAGGGTACAGAAATAGTAGCTGTCGGACGAGCTCTTTGCTTGTATGACTTGCAAAGAATGCCTGTCCCACTCACACATGTCACACTGTCACTTTAACTGAACTACTTCCAATCTAATCAATCGATTTTCATTAAAGCATTTTTTATTTTTTTAAAAAAAACATCTGAAGTCACTCGCCTCTTTCTCTAGAATATCTGAAAACCCCTTATCTAATGCGTGTTGAAAAGCTTTAACGTTGTATTTAGCGCTGCTTTATCAGTCTATCACTAATGACCTTCATCACTTCGTAAGCCATAACGTACTTAAAACGGGTCGCCAGAGTCCGAACTGATTATCCCTACGAGACAATATCTGAGCCAACACTAGTTATGAATTGATTTCGTTTAAAATTGCCATGTCATAGATAATTGGTAACTATATCAGTAAAATTAGAAGGTTTGAGAAATAACCGGAAGTTTAGTTCATTGTAAAGTTCTACTTATACTGAGGTCATGGATACAGTGAAAGCTTTTTCCTTCTCAAATACGGTAAGCAGACACCCTTTTAAGCGAGGTTGGGAAACCTAAGCTAAACTAATGACTAGCGATGATTTGGTAGTTTTTTGTTATATAATGCTGAGTCATGCATTATCGGTGACCACTAAATAAGCAGCGGAACAAGGGGATGTTAAAAATAAGCGGAAGTTAAAGTTATTTATAGTTTCAGTTTAGGATCGCACGGCTAAACATGACGATAACCTTTTCTTTTAACACGATTTAATATAATTTAAGGGGAAGGCATGAGTCGGCCACAACATTTATATATTGAATAACTAAGAACGGCTAAGCTACAGTAAGTAAGATGAACCACCTTCTCAAGTCAAAGTAGTTTTATTACACGCTTTGGTACTAGAACGAGCTCGTGCCTGTGTCGACTACATTAGAAAGTACCAGTTCAAATCTAGCTTAAATTTGGTTTAGCTCTTATAACTGGAAAAGCCTGAACCTGGCTGTCCTCGAATCAGAGTTAGCTGCGTTCAGTGGCACTGCGTCGCTGGATTAGGAAAGTGGCTTAACTTGCTTATTAAAAGCATTTTAAGAATTTAAGAATGAAAATAAGCGGAAAGACTCAGTCTACGAAACGTCGTGAAAAATCAGAACAGCAATAGTTACAAATTTAATTTCTATTTTTTTTGTCGGCTGTCGATAAGTTACTCACGTTCTGGACCGAAGGGTGTTTAGTGTAGTCAATTGCTTACATGTAATTCAAACAAACTTCTCTAAGGATTTCAGTTAAGCAAAGTAAAGACAGCATATGATCAGGATGTCGTTGTTAGTGGAGCTTTTTCAAGATTACCCTCGATAAAATGATTACTTTTGAACTTTACATAGTGACGACTATTTTTATATGTTCCAAAAGAGTCCTACAGATACTAGACAAGGTGTGTAAGGAAATTAAGATTGGCTTAGTGCCCTTGCTTTTAAAACTGATTAAGCAACTGGGTACTTGGTGAATTAGACTTTTTCAAAGTCCTTCGCTTCTCGTTTCCGGTTCCGGTAGTAGTCTCCCGCTTTCTCGCTCGCTTTGCCACCGAAAACATAACAAATTTCCGGCTCGCGCTTTGCGCTCGACTTGTGAGCAAGTCTATTAGTAAGTGTACTAAAAGGGGTATGTTTATTTTAACAATTAGCTTAATAAACAAATAGCCACGAGGTAATTTTCTAAGTAGGTTAACTGGGTCACGATATCGGTTTTAGTTGACTTATTTTTAAAACAGACAAGTAATTTTTGGAATGCAGTGGGAAAGAAGTACCAATTAATTAAGGGACTTGCAAACTTTGGTCTTTTCAATGAGGCACGAAATATGGGGGCCTTTTTACCATACATTTTGCTATAAACGAGGTGAAGACTATCGATTGTTTTACTGGACTTTCTGGGGTCTTCGTTTTCAAAGAATTTCAATATCGGAGTTGCGCTAAAGGTCACTGGGTGCTGAATCACGAAAATTTAGATGACGTGTGCTTCCTATCGACTTTCTTATCTGGAAAATTCTGGTCCATTAGTGAAGTTTCTTCCTAATCATCATGCAGGCGCACCCAGTATATAGTACAGTACTTCTGAGACGAAGTTACAGTCTCGAGCCAATGGATTCTTTATTTGATAAATCCGTTTTGTCTCTGTTTTCAGCCGCTAAAAACCTAATGAGTAGGCCATTGGCCTTCTCGTCACCTTTAAAGAACACTAAACAGTATTAGAGGAAACCAGACATAAAAAAAAACAGAGGTGAAAAAGGGCCAAATTAGGTCATTCCATTTAAAAGGCCAGTTGGTATCCGAATAAAATGGTCACTGAATGACTTAACATAAGACTATATAACGTGTCAAATAACAATCCCCAAGTTATTTGGCAACCGATTAAATATAGGTGTTCTATTTAGGAAACGTTAAGTATCATCTGGTTGACTTGAAGTTTTCAGTTTCTTTTTTATTTTAAAATAACAGCCTTATACCGTAAATGCAAGAAGACATCGTGTGCTTTATAACTGAAGCTCAAACAACCCATGCAAGACTGATTACATCAGTTGTGGCCTTTGCATTTGACCTCGAGTAGGAATCATGATTTGTATGTTTAGTAAAACGGTTATGAGTGGAATTAGGAAATATATTCACTCGCGACCGTGTTGTCAAAATCCTAAGTAATAAATTCCTTCGCCTAAGGGCTCGGGCAGTCATTTGAGTTTTGACAACGCACAAGCAAAATCACTTCCCAATTTCACGAGTATGCCAACTTGAGTTTCCAGTTGTTCATTGTGCCGAGGAGTCCACGCAACGAATAGTTTAAAGCATACATTTAAACTAAAAGATTTTCTGACTTCTCATCAGAATCCTTCTTGCCGTTAAAAACAGTGCTCTTTCGTATGTTAAGGTTTTTAAAACTTCTTTCAATGCCCTGACATCTTCATTCGAAATATATTTAAACCTAAGAACGCCATCTTGGCATTGAGATAGAAGGAACTTTACCACACAGCACTATGTTGTAATTTCACATTTGAAATTTTGAATTATCGCTGATTTCGCTCATAAATCAAGGGAGTAATTTGTCATCCGCGGTTTACCCTTTAAATTTCGAGCAAATTCTGTTCCCAGCTGTAACTCTCTTCGGATGCTGGCCAACAAATATGAGTATTTCAAAATATTTGCGGGCACAAGCTTTGTAAGCTATACTTAATTTGAAATAAACTTGTTGTTGTAGTATCGAGTTAAAAAGGACCAAAAAGTGATCAAGCATACAAACCTGACGGTTTGAAAACTCATTCTCATGCACAATTTTTGTTTTCGAAGCCCAATCTAATGATCTCCAGTTACTCTCTTATTTCTGGTACCACACTCTAGCTTATCGTGCCACAATGTCAGTCTACTGTGTAAAGCGTTTAATATTTAATCCTCTAGGCTTGTTCGCGGGATAAGGCAGAATACTGAAAGGAGTGAGAACAAGATAGGAAGATAATTATGTTTTACACTCTGTTGTCTATCTATAGTTACCTTGTGCCTCAAGAAAAATGGCATGAAAACTAAACTTTCTCAGCATAAAAATTTTAAAATAGCTTCAAAATTAAAGAAGCTGCCTTTCCAAAAAAATAATAAACGGCTTGCTCCTTAAATGACTGACGACACGTTACTGCACTAGTCTTCGAAAATGCGTTTACACGTACTGATGAAAAAAATATTTGAGTCTTTTTTTTAACTTCCACGTCGCCTATTTATTGACATAAACTAATGGCAGTTCACAAGCCACTGAATAATTGTAACACCTAAATGGTTTCAACATGATAGAGAAATGTTTTGAAGGTGAAGGACAAGAAGAAGAGAAGAGACTTTTCTTACGATTCACAGTAAATATTTACTTGCAAAAATTAATAAATCTCGGACAAGAAGACTTGATCTTGAAACACAGTTTTCGATTTCATGAATATAGCTGCAAGTGAAAATGCATATTCATTTGCGACTTTACCGTGATAAACTAGAAAAAAACTGCAAGCACAGGAATTCGTTTCTAGGCATTTCTCGCGCTTACCGAGTGTCTTCTAACACTACTCCCGGCTCAGTGAAGCTCAGGTTTTGAGTTAAAGCACAACAAAGAAAAAGCGGGTTCAATATAAGAGACGTATAAGAGGTTATAAATAATCTGAGAAATACAGTTTAAAACATATAGCTACCTGTAAAATTTCCCTTGCGCGGTCTCGTGAGGAACGTCACAGGAAACTTCGATTGGTAACTCAACAATTCAAAAAGTGATGGCAAAGCTTTACCCGTCAAGTTTCCAGGCTTGCTTGGTATTCCAGTGGCATTTAGTGCTGTGAAGTTAAGAGTCCAGTTTCCGCAAAGTCCAACGCAGCTGCAGCATTTTGCCCAAAGATGAGCGCCAAGGCATCTGTAACAGTTCTCACAGCACTCGCAAAGTTTGCTCGAAGCTTCAGTTCCACAGCCGCAATCTTTCATGATAATACAGAAAGACACACGCGCAGCACACACAGTGCTATTGCAGTTTTTGAACGCTTTGTAGGCAGTTCTTGTTTTATTACGTTGTCCATTAGGCGCTTGAAAACAGAAGATGTTCAGCCAGACTATGGCCATGAAAAGTAGGCATGAAGGCTTCATTTTTGGCTGAAAGAAAACAGTTTCGTTTTCATCAGTCGGAACGCTACGTTTAGGAGTGAAAGCAACAACAATTCTAGAGGTAACATAAGTTAGTGATTCTTGTGTGAGACTTCGATCTTAAACAATACTTAGTTTCCAGCAGAATTTAGTTCTTTGCTTCTGAGAAGACACAAACGGGGGGGTATTGCAGTAAAAGCAGTACCTTCTAGCTGCCCCTACCTGTGAACTTTACGAATCAGGGTTCTCTTGTTCAGTTCCCTGAATCCTTTCAAAGGCTTTCCAACCGAATTTTGGAAATTAAGATTCTCACGATCAGACGAAAATTTCGAATTGCGTCTTTTTTCCACGATACCGCAACCAACACGGTCTTTGTGCAAGTGCTTGAATGGCCGCGCTTTTATATATGGGTATATCGGATAAAACGGCTCTTTAAGGAGCGAGATACCGCCTTACATTTCATAATCCAATATCACTCTGGAAATAAACTATGGCGGTAGTATTTGCTACCCCACCGCGCTACAATGTACTGCAGTTGCAGCTTGGTTTCAACGTACACCAAGCAGCAAGTGGAGAATAGTTTGACGTACAGCTCACAGAAATGCTACATCTAAAAGGAGCTTTACTGTAGCTCATTGCTTGGCGTTCTTTTTCTACATTTCGTGCTAAAGTCGGGAACATTTTAAAAATAGCTCCATCCAGGGGCCCATTACCTTTGTTATATTGCACAGGGACGTTATCGAAAAACTTCAGAATTAGACAGGCAGTCAAAGTATTTCTATCATTTTTGTCAGCATACTTTCTTGTTCGCAAAACTCCCGGTAAACTGAGGTCAACTGTTCTTCATCACAGCACTCGACCAGCTGTTACAGACAGTCGCCAGAACGTATGGCTGATAAACTCGCCCGAATAAAGATGCTGAAGGTCTGAAACAACATTGAAACATAACGGAAGCATTGATGTGAAAAAAAAAAAATGCAAATTAAGAAGTTTTTCTTCCAAAATTACCTCTCTCCAGGAGGCAAAGGAGGTCATACTCGCTCATTTGAAGTCAAAATGGGACGACATTCGACTTTTACCAAAGTATGGGCCATTTTGCTTCAGGAGAATTGACCTTACCTTAATTAGATTCAGTCCATAAAGGACTTCACTTAGCCAGCAAAACAGTTTCTATATACTTTGTGGTAAAATGAAATAAGCTAATAATAACTGCAACAAGAAGATAAATTGCTTGAAGTAGGACTCCAGATGAACAACTGAATATTTTGTGTGCAAAAATCCAAACTTAGTAACTTTGTTGGACCGAAAGTTAATTTTGCTCCGAAATTTGTTTTATCTGTTTATCGCAATGAGTTGTTGAGTATTCTTGTAAATCAATTAAGCGTGATGAGTAGAGGTTTCTAATTTGGGAAGGTGTTCATGACGAGTTTATACGCACTAGCGTTTCCTTTGTAAACAGTTTTAATTAAGAGTTCGGAACTTTAATCACATGACCCCACCCAAATTAAGCTATTTTACCGTGCATATTTTAAGTTATTTTTATTTGGCCAAAATTTTGTCAAAATTAGATTTTATTACCTTTTTGATAAATAAATCGCTTCTATAGATCATCAGTGAAATGAAATGGAAACTGTAATTGTACCTAAGGTTGGCCATGAAGCAAGAAGTCGTGCCAATTTTGTTTATTTACCCCATCCCGTCCCAAAACAAAAACAAAGAAACAAAAACATTCACAGTTTTATAGCTGTTTGAAGAGAAAGATGGGCATTATTGCTGATGTTTTCAGTGTTAAAAAGAGTCATGCCTTTGCATCCATAAGGTGTTTCTAAAAATAGATGACGCAGTCCCTCTAAGCAGGAATGTTTTTCTAGAAGTCATATAGGCCAGTTTTTATTTTTTAATTCTTTTAATATTAATGATGAGCTTTCTACCAAGTCCTTCTAACCAGTTATTTCCCTCAGCATTTTTCTTTTTCTAAAGGGTAGTTTCTTGCAAAGATCCCCTTATGAGCTCCTACTCTTTCTTGGTCTTAAGAGAGCTGATACTGCTGCAGGATAATCGAAGATTCGAGTCAAATCTTGTGCATGTAACAAGAGCAATAAAGAAACAAAACAATACCTTAAATAGCTTCCTGTTATACGATGTCTCAGGATCAAAAGTAGAAATTATTAATGCTTAAATGTACAATTTCATATCCCGTTCATTCTCTGAGAACAGAAACAAGACTTTCAAACGTACTGACAGGAGATACCGTTATTGGATCACTCTGAAACTCCAAAACATGTAAAGCCAAAATAAGTGGTCTACTGGATTCCGGCGTCATGCCGCAAAACTCAAGGACTCGTTTAGAATATGGGAGTTCATTAGTTCGGGAAATCATAGAACTTAAACACTGGAGAGTGAAACGAAAGATTTCTATATAATTATAACCCAGCGATTCTGCTACAAAGGTATGTGTAAAAGTTTAATATATCCTCATTTGGCTGTTGATATGATTCCAGCGTAAATTTATGATGTAATTTGTGCGTATAATTTAATAGTTGTTCGCCATATCGCGAGAGTCAAAGAGTGGCTCCTGGAGTAACTACTTACTATTTTAACCACTGAGGTTTTTTGGAGACATCAGTTAATTAACAGCTCATTGACTTTTAACCGAAGAGAGAACCTTACATGTCAAGCTTTCAGCTCCCTTGAGTTTGTTCCTTCCCTCGAAGCCCTTTGTCTTTTCCCTAGCGGCAATCAACATCGAGAAGGAAAATAGCTGTTTTTGCATCTAATATGGTGTTAAATTTATAAAGTAAACACTGAGAAACCAAGAGATCTTCCTTCTGTACAAAGTGAGCATTTGTCAGAAAGATATTCAAACAAACAATGGAAGGATTGGAGGTAAACGATGTTAAAGAGGTCCTAAGAATAGTTTTAACTCTCCTTTACATTCAATCTAACCGGTGACTGGAGGATCATTTGTCTCTGTTGCTTTCTATTTTCAGTGTTCAATCTTGTCACCAAGTACAGAATTTTGGTACTTTCAGAGGTACATGCACAAATGCATTAGACAAATGAATATTTCAGAGACCAAAACAGTAGACTGAATCTTAATAAACTGACTATTGGAGCTTTCAAAATATGGCTTACAGATGACTGAACCTTGAAGCGTTTAGACAAAACCAACCATAAAGTAATTAAATTGTGAATTTCCATTTGCTATAGTTATTTGTCACAGTTTTGTTGGTGGATGAAACTTTTAAGAGTAATTACTGAATGAGTGCATGTGTCCCTAGAGTTTAAAACTACAAACGTCTTTTCGTTTTACTACACCGTTCATAAAAAATAGTTGGAACATCTTTGATTAGCTTACCTGTTCGGGGCGGAGGAGTCAGTAGTATTTCGTGAGGTTCACTAGAAATGACATTATCTGTTACCTGCGGAAGCAAAGAAACTGTATATTGCTAAGATGTTCATGACTTGTTAGTATCGTGTTCACTGACGTTTCCTGAGCTACTTAAAGATGTTATGATTACCAAATAGGATAGTCTCTTTTAAACTTATTACTCTTTTTTTAACGCCGACACGATATACAACGAGGAAGCCTAGAATGATCTTTTTCATTCGTTAAATTTCCAAATCCAAGAAGGTGTACAATGAGTAATTAAAGAATATTTCGAGATATTACAGAAGAACCACGTTTCTGGCTGGCCTTGACATGACCTAATAACTGAAGTGCGGTTGCTACGAAGAGAAACATTTTTTCAATTCCTAATTAGCTTATCAAAAAATGATGGCAGAAAGGACAAAAAAAGATAATAGATACAGTAAAAGCCTGGGTATGCTTGCCACGCTCTTTTAAAATTATTAATATAGTGAAGAGTAAATACGTGATAGTCGTCAGCATCAGCCGTCAAAATAAGTCCAACTTATATTGCTTGGATGTTTCCAACGTTCCATTTTAAAGAAGGTAAAGTATTCAACAGTTGATTAGTAGAGGGACTTGGCCTACTGCAGGTTTTATTCTTATCTTTACGCTAGAAACTATGATTTATTTTAATCTTTTCTTCTGAGTTAGTCCGTTCATTCAATTTGAAAAGAATGCGAGCTGAATTTGATTTGGCAAAAGTGTTAACAGCACTTTGCACTGTATTGTAAAGCTGAACGTGGTTCATGATTTCCAACAATCGTTTTAAAAAGTGCTTGTCATTGCGGTTGAATTTAGTAGCGGCGGTTTAACTGATTAATCTGGGATTCTATGCTCTCATGCTTTTGCCCCACCCAGATAAGGAAACTGTCCACACACTACAATAACCAAGAGCGAAAAAAAGTTCTATCAGGCTCTCTATGTTTAATTTTTTCTACGTACATGCTGATTTAGAACTTACTACAATTAAATAGCACTGTTGCAAACGCAGTTAATTGATCGGCAAATAAATTTAAATTTAAAAAACCTGCGCCGCTAAGCTTCACCTTAGCCTCAGACCAACACAGGAGCCATTTCTGCCCACAGAAGTACAGTATGACTTGATTTGGCATCAGTTTAGTAATCAAGTGCGCTTAACGAGACCACTTTAACTTGGCAAGGAGGCAAACAGTTCAGCTGAATTTAGGCCAATTATACTAAAGCTTACTCTTCAATGCGGGCAGATTTCAGTTAACTGTGTGGTCAAATAAACTATCTTCGTTGACCCCGGCCAACGATATATCCTTATCGTCAAACGCAAAATGGGAATACCGTGTGGCACGAAAAGTTTGCGGGAGTTTATTTTTGCGGATTGGCGATTTTTTGTGTTTTACAGGGACTAATTTTTGCGGTTGCGGCGGATTGTTTTTTCTTGCTAGGCATTAATTAATTTTTACGATTTTTAGAAAGTAACCAGTACCCAGCATTGATAATATTTTCGTTTTTATTGAGTACGTGCAACAGAAATACATATTTTCAAACCACTGAGTACAGTCTTTGGATATGCCGTTTTGTTTCTGAATGAAAG